GCGCGTGGCACGGGAGGGCAAGGGGAGGGCGACGGCATGAGAATTGGTGGCCCGGGAGGAGGCGGCGAAATTGGCGAAGCGCCGCTGCCGGGGACGTGCCCCCGCTTGCATATTGTGGCGCTGCGGGGGCAGCGGGAACTCGGGAAGCGCGACTACTTCAATTAGGGGGTCGTGACCTGGTTCCCTCTCGAGAGGAGAGTGTTAAATTTTGGGAGAGGACCGGGAGAGGTGGCTCAGAGCATCAACTGATGTCATTGCAGTACCTTTGAGTGGGAGGTCGTATGTTCGAGTCCCAACGGTGACAGCAGTTTCGACGCTAGCTTGATAGCTGGTCGAATTCAGTCGCTGTCTGCAGACGAATTCTAGCGGCCGGCTGCTCTGGTCGGTAGTTTTCCATAATTTCTCCGATGAGTACCAGACGAATGCAGCAGCAGTAGCCTAACTTCCGGGCCGCGGACCGCGTGACCTTTACTTCCTCTTCCTATCCTCACACATTTACACCAACATGCGCTACACTACCGCACATGCCGGCAGACCAATCGGAATCTTGGAGCTTGTCTCGTCTGGGGTGGTGCCCGTCTGGTGGGAGATACCTGGTTGGGGGATACTCTGATAGCCTGCGGGAAGTTTGCGCCGAATCTCGCCATCCAGCGGGGAAGATTACTACCACAACCACCACCTCCCAAGGACAAAATGCACTGCACTTACGGAACTATTCACCTTAGCGGTAACGCGCCCGGAATCACTAGCATTCATTAAATCACTTTGGGAGATTCCGTTGATTCTTAAGGAGGGGAGTAGACATTTTGAAGAAAACGATGTAAACATTTTGAATGATTTTTTGATATGATTTATAAGATAAATTGTTTGTAAATATTTATTTCAGGCTATTCCGCACATTTTAACGATGCAGATGATAATGCGGCAGAATTTAATAATACCTAAATGCTGAGATCTGTGGCAAATATTCTGACAAGAGACGAGTTTTTTTACTTTTGTGAAAAAGAAGGGCGATAACAAACACTGAAACACCTCATAAGTCATAGTTTATTCTTAAAATTACTTGGACAGAATATGGTTTTAATCCGTTTGGCTCCCATTAATGCCTGCTAGCTCCAGTGTAGAGCAGAGAAATAATGAAGGAAGTGATTTAAGGGTCATAGTGAAGTAAAGTGCAAGTGCAGTGTGGTCTTAATTGAACAAAATTCAGTGCGGAGTTAGATTACAGGAGTTCAAGAATTATCAGTTGTTATATGATAATATTTTAGAATTAATATTATTGTTTGTCTTATTAACTGTTCCTATTGTTACTAATATTATTATATATTAGTTATATTATCTTATGTATGTAATTAGCTGCCATCGCGTTATACCCAACTGCAGTTGAAGCAAATGTATCTCATTGGACTGCACGTGATTATCTTTGCGTCGTGGGAGTATCCGGGGGTAGTACACGCTTTCTAGGCCATTCCGTGCTCGTAGAGAAGTGATATCGCTAAGTGCGTGCGCGGGTGCGCAGGGGCGGCGCGGCAGGCGGAGTTCCGTGCGCCTGGACGCGCGCGTGTGGTCCTCCGTCGGCGGCGGCAGCAGAGAGCATCTCCGCTGTTTACATAACGGCGGCGAGTTACATCTCGTGTACAGTTAGAACAAGATGTCCTCTGGGCCGTCGCCTTCCCGGCTGCCCCCCCCCCCGCCACTTTCCATCTCCTTTCCCCTCCTTTCCGCGCCGTACTAATCTACTCACTCGGCCCCGTCCGACCGTGCCTTCCCATTTACTTTTTCCCGAGCATGTAAAGCGTGTCTAAAACAAAACTCGCCAAAGTGAGGCACGAGAAAAGAGACTCAGGAATATTTTTTGTCACTGGCTGAGAGTCCCGGAAATCTTACATAACAGTTCTTACGTGGGTATGTGATTCATGGCAATATTAGAAGAGCCACAATCGTAAATGTTGATAACTTGAACAAACTTGAAAGCTTCGCCTGAATGCAGACTATTTGGCATACACGCACGTTAAGTGTGCTGCCTAGAGATATTTTCAAACGCACATCTTGCCCGGTAGAATTAATTTCATAAAGCCACTCATTAAATTCTTCAGCCGGTCAGATGACCGATATCGTTAGGCAGCCTCGGACCTTAGACGCCACGGACCAGAAGACCACATACACACATACATACATACATACATACATACATACATAGAAAATAACACACATACATTACACACATCCATAACACATAAATTACACGACACATACACACATACATGTCACACATACATGCACACAATACATCGCACTACATACACGCACACTACACGCACACATACACGCACACATACCACGCCACATACACACGCACTATACACACACATACACACACATTCACACACATTCACACACACATACACACATACATACACACACATACACACATACATAAAGTGAGTGCAAACTAATGACAAAAATGCGTGAAGACGATTTACAATATTTTGAACATGACCGGGAAAACAAATTTGAAATGATGAAGCCCAGAACCTCAAGATTCGTCGTGAAATATACATCCGGAGCGGAAATAAGGAATAAAACCTACAGCAATGGAGGTAGGTGAAGACGACTCCAGACATATTTAACGGCGAGGCCAAGACCCACAGACCCACGGGTGGGCTCGGGAGGGTTTATTAAAACGCGCGGGGCCTGCCGCCTCCGCAAAAGACGCCCCCGCCGCCCACATCCCACTCCGCCGCTTCCAGCGTGGGCGCGGGGCGGCCGTCCAGCTACTGAATAATTGAAGAGCGGCCGGTCACAGGGGCGGAAGCGTGAGTAGGGGGTAGGGAGGCGGCTGAATTAGGCGAAGGAGGTCCTTGAAGGGCCAGCAAGGGCGCCGCAGGGCGCGTTGTGGGAGGCGGCCGTGGTCAGACGAGTAACAGGGCGCCGGGGCCCCGGGCGACTGCTGCTTGGAACAAGGTACTTC